CTTTCATCACGAGTGTGTCAAAGTCAACTTATGGGATTTAATTTAGAAAGGCAACCCGATATTACAATACATTCGAAATGTTTCATGGGAATACGGTGAAATTGCCCCGGATTACGTATTAGGACAAACAACTTGCGCTTTATTTCTTAGGTGAGGATCGATAAAATTTTGAAAAATCGATCTTATACCCGAGAAATATTGTGGAAATATTAATTATTATTATATGCACGAATTTTCTAGCCTTAAATACCATAGACTTCATCCCGAATATATTTTCAATAGGATCGAAAAACTTGCTCATCACTACTTACTCAGGATCATGCTTATTCTCGTAGATACTGTATGCATCAATTGCCATTGAATTTCCAATGTTCCTGCACAAAATTGTTGATATTAAATTTATTATTAGGATACTCATCAGGAACCTATTCGCGAACTTACAAAACTTTGCGTTTTAAATAATTTCACAATTATACTTGCTTGGAGGTAATAAATTTAATGTGGAAAGTTTTGTTTTTGCTGTTAATTGTAAAATCAATTTTTTTTTTAGTCAAGAGGAAGCAGGGAGATATCTCGAAACATATAAAGCTTTTGAACACAAGCCGCCAGACATAATAATGGAGAAGGTCGAGAATGACTATCTAGCAAAAGTATTCTTTTTTCAATTATTATTATCGATCATTATTTGGCAGATGCTAAAGTTTATTGATTTTATGATAGTTAACACATTGTATGACTCAAATGAAGTCCATAAATAAGACAGACGTTGTGACTCTTGCTTCTTCATTCGGGGTAATTAACAATTTTATTAACATTTGATATTGATCAAATGGTACCAATTTACAACTTTCGAATTTAAATAAAATAGTCACTGAAAAAGATCATGTCGGCTTCATCTGAACAACTTGCTCTATGTCCCGGATTAGGTCATCAAAAGGTACTACTTTGTTTTCTGATGTTATGCTGTTCGCAGTATTTTAATACCTTTATTGGACATAGATAAAAAGAATTCAAGAGACATTTGAACAACCCTTTTTGATTCATCAAAAGTCCTCGCCCATGGGTCATGAGAAAAAAAAGGAGAGTTAAATGGATTGTGAAAACCATGAATCACAAATTACCTTCTTTTTTTTTTTCTATTTTTGCCTGATTTGATGACAAAGTATATTCACTTCTTTTCTTTACTTAGTAAACATTGTTTTATTCTTTCTTAAGAATTTAATGTTTCTTATGAATTCCTCATAATAAATACTAAACAAAATGTGTAAGTGCTATTGCATTTTAGTAGAAATACAATGAATTAATATTTTTTTTGAAATAATGTGCAGTACATATTTGTTGATATTTTATTTGTTTTTATTTACAAGTTGATACATGTGGAAGTTTTAATATCTTTAATTTTTTTTTAGACAACTTCTTTTTATATTTTACGTATACAAAACTGTAGCTTTTTTCAATTATATGGTTTTAACATTTTTTTAAATTAAATAATTATCACATTGTTACTGCAATATGGCCAAAACTTTTATTTCCTGTCTTTCTTATAATAAAGAAATTAAAAGATAAATATATAAACCATGTTAATGATAACAATCGATCGAAAACATTGTTATCTACTGTATTGGTATTAAGTTTTTTATACAGTATAAATAAATTTATAGAAAAATAAATAAATTTTGTGGTTTTTTTTTTTTTTTTACTTTTAATCAGTTTGTGTAATATTTTATTATTTATAAAAACAATAGTACAATAAGTCATATAATATAATGTATTAATATTCACTGTATAAATTCATTAAATAGCTAATTACAAAACTAAAAACTTTTTAAATATAATTATAAAAATAAAAACATTTCTAATTTTTAAATTTTATTAACAATAATTTTCTATTATTATTTAAAAATCTAATAATGAATAAAGATTTTAATTTATAAAGTTTTTTAATAATATTTTTTATATAAATAATCAATAAAGTTTTTATTTTATAGACTTTTTGATATTAGAATTACAGTAATAAAAAATAATATTAAAAAAATTATTATTTTAAAATATAAATATGAATATTAAGTTAATAAAAAAATTTTTTTATAATAGAATTTTTATTATTACCACTGTAACTAATTCAATATTGAATAAAATATTTTTAAAGGCCATAATAAATTAAAAATTTTTTTATTTTTATTTCAACAAAATTTCAATATATTTTTTATAATAATAGGTAAATATTATTTGTAAATAATTTTTAAATTTCAAATAAATAATTTAATATAAAATTTGGTAATTTATCAAATAAAAATATAAAGTAAAAATTTTTATTAATAAATCAATAATAAATTAACCAGTTTTAATATAACCATGAATTTTTAATTATATTAAATAAAAACGAACAAGATTTAAAAAACTTTAAAAATTATTTTACACTTTTAATATGATAATTAATAAAATAAAAATTTCCAATATATATATATATTTATTTATTTAAATATAAGAATTAATTAAAATAAATAAATCTATATATTTTTTTGTTCAATTAATTTATAACTCCAATTTTATAAAATTTATATCGGTTTTAAAAGATTTGTTTTTTTTCAATGCATGTTTAGATCCATTTCTTTTAGGTGGCATAATATTTTTCGTATGTAATAGAACAAGGGATACACACATACTATAGTTATTATACTAGTACAATTACACTTATATCAGGAAAACGTTTTAAAAAAGC